GGGGTGGGGGGCAGAGATGGCCAGGGTCCCCTCAAGGTTTTCTGGAGCAAAGAATGTTATGGACCCGCCTAGCGCTCTTTTGGGTGTGGAGAGATCCAGTGCCTGGACCTCCGGTGCACCAAGCCTCAGACCTGGCAGCGCTGCAGATCCTTATTCCAAAGCTTGGTTCCATCTTCCCCATAGATGCAGATTGTCACTGGTGCCAGCTGGCTGTGAGGTGGCCTAAGGGAGGTTAGTGGCACACTTTTGTGCCTCAGGTCAACTGAAGTAAACAGCAGGACAGAGGCAAGGTTTCTTAAAATTTTTCAAAAAGGTAATTTTAAAGTACATTTTTCCGGCCAGGCATTGGTGCTGCAAGGCCTTAATCCCAACACTCGAGAGGCAGAGGCAGTCGAATCTCCGTGAGTTACAGACCAGCCTGGTCTACAGAGCAAATTCCAGGACAGCCTCCAAAGCTACAGAGAAACCCTGTCTCAAAAATAAATAAATAAATAAGTACATTTTTCCAGAGTTGCGGGAACATCACTTGCCATCATATGTAAAAATCCAGACTGGATTGGTATGACCCAGTTGATGGAATTGTTCTCAATGGAAAAAGGATTAAACAGTATTGTTCTGACAAGCTGATTTCCTTGCCACTACCCCCATATTTTCGAAAAATAAAGTTGTTTTTGAAGGCATTCTCAACTGTCTGAATTTAAATTTCATGACAAACAGCCACAGCTATGTTAAAGATTCTACAAAATTGATATTGACTAATTATAACTACATGATTGTGGGGAGTTGTAAATATTGTATCTTGGACTAGCTAGCCCCTTTAATAGTTATCCATTGCCCACCTTTGTGCCTGCCCTAAAGTCCCTGTAACTATCACATGTCATTCTTTTTATACTACTAGCCTCCACCAACTGAAAAGCTAAGAATGTCATCAGATGTCACCTGAGACCTGTAGCAGAGATTTCCCTGCTTTGCAGTGTATCTGAAGAGGGCCTTGATCTATTACTTCCTTTTATTTTGTAACTACAAAAACTTCATGTGCCCATTTCCATATTGGAACACAGTATTTGGGTCAATAATCCCAGGCAAAGATCACTCAAATTTGGCTCCAGAATAAACAGTTGTTTAAATGCTTTGAAATGAGAGCTGTGTTTTGCTTGGACATCCCTATAGCAACAGTAACACATCGCCTTGCCATGTGTTCATTTCGCTGGCTCATCTGTCTTCCTATCTAAATGTAAACTTCCAGAGGGCAGAGACTTTATTTCCCAGTACCTAGAAGAAACTCACTAAATTACTTTTTCAGGGGATAGAGTAATTTTAGAAATGAAACTTAGAAGCATCTGAAATCTATTAATTTAGTAATTTCTGAGAGGTTTAAAAATAAAGCTTGTGAAGTTCCCTGGTCATTCATATTTAAGATAAGGCTTCATTCATGTTAAATGAGAATAATACTTCATGAGTTATCTTGAGGAACAAACCTGGCATACCTATACGTTCTTTAATATCCACTGCCATAATTAGAATATGAGCTGTTCCCTTCAGGCACGTGTGTTTGAACACTTGGTCCCCAATTGGTGGTACTGTTGGTGGAGGTTGTGGACTCTTGGGGAGGTAGAGTGTTTTGGATGAAGTGTTTTGTTAGGGGTGGGCCTTGAGGTTTTGTAACCCAGTCCCATCTCCTGTTCATCATTTACTTCATGATTGTGGATGTAATATGACCAGCTGCTTCTCCTCCTCCTGCTGTGCCTTCCCTGTCCTGATGTTAGGTCCTCCACTGTAGCCAAAACAAACCCTCCCTCCCTCCTGAAACTTCTTCTGGTCAGGTGTTTTGTCACAGCAATGAGAAAAATAACTAATACATCCATCACAGATAGTTCTTGGAAAGCATCAATAAAAAGACTGGTAGAAAAAGTTGGGAACTGGTTGAAGGCATTTTGCTTACCACCTAAGAAATTAAGTCTTTAAATAAAATAACTTTCTTACAGAAACCATCATTTTGGCCACCTTAAACAGGCTAAGGGGAGACACATTTAAAAGTTGTATTAGTGGCCTGTTGCTGCTACACCAAATGTGCACAAATGCTCTGGTAAGATCAGTACAAGCAGATATTCTTAGAGATCTCAAGGTTGTAAGTACACAGTGTCTTAGAAGGTAAGACCAAGGTGTTGGGGAAGGCTGGCTCCTATAGGCAGCTTTGTGGTGTGGATCCCTTTCCAGGTCTGAGGCTGCTTGCATTCCTTGGTTCACAGCCCTGTATCACATCCCCTTTTCTTGCTTTGCTTCCATGGTCATATAACTTTCTTCTAATTCTGATTCGTCCCTGTGTCTCTCTCATAGGGAGGGTCATTGGGACTCCATTGGATCTATCTGGATCGCCCAGGTGAGTCTCTCATCTGATAATTCTCACCTTGACCACATCTACAAAGTCTCTTTTGCCACATAAAGTAACTCAGGTTCCAGGGATTAGGACTTTTGACATGGACGGTGGCATTATTTGGCCTTACCACAGAAGTCATTTAAAAAGGCATGAAAGAAGATGGAATTACTCTGGGAGAGCCAGCCATTGTTGGATTAGCTAAACTGCAGCCTGTAGGTGACTCCAATAAACCCCTTTTATATATTAATTTATTACATATTAAGAGACTATATTAATATATTTATATATAGAGAAATAGATTGATACATTCACTAAGTTATGTTACTCTATAGAACCCTGACTAATACAGAAGTGTACTTCACTGAGAGAATGACCTCATTAGATAAGGACAGGCACAGCTGTGTCTGAAGGATGAGAAATGTGCAAAGACACTGACCTCTGGGGGCCACGCTGAGCATGAAGGCAAGCCCTATTGCAACTACTCCTATTCCTCAGGTAGGTTCACACCCAAATTGGGCATGGTGGAGCTGAAAGCCAAACTTCAAAGTAGTCCCAGGTTGGGGAAACCCTATTTGCCTAGGTACATGCTAGGCCTTACCACTAGACACCAGGGGCTATCAGTAACCCTTCATGCCCTTAATAAACCTGAATCTCTGGGGGAAAATAAACTACATTGAAATATCATTTTACCCCAAATGGCAAGACTTAGTTAATAAAACAAAATCAGGGTTCACACCTTTAGTTCCAGCATGCCTGAAGTAGAAGGCAAGGGGACTTCGGTAAGTCTGAAGTACTATACAAGGCCAGTCAGGGCTACACAGTGAGACTAGCTTTAAAAAAAAAAAAAGGAAAAAAGAAATGTTGGAAGGGATGAAGAATGTGGACAAAAAGAACTTTACACACTGTTGGTGGTAATGTCAACTATGGAAGTTTGTTTGGAGGTTCTTCAAAAAGCTTATAGTTGATCTTCCAAATGACCAAGGCGAACGGGTACAAGGAGTTAATATACTCAATGTACCTTATATACTTGCATTAAAATGTCCTTATGAAACTCAGTACCACATAAAATGAACACAGATCAATTAAAAATACAGTTTAAAATCCATATGTATTCTAAAATGTACAATCCACTTAAGAGTCATGAACATTTTCATTATGTAGTTTTTATTTTAGATGAACATTATTGTAAAAAAAAAAAAAGTTCACCTGGAATAAAATCAATTTTTTAAAAAAACACAGCATCAGTATCAGTACAGTTAATGAACTGGCTTCAACAGACCAACCACATGACAGGTCTATATTATCCACAGGAGCTTTCCACAGTAAGCCACTGGAGCAAAATAAAATATGTTTAAGCACACACGTAGAAGCCTATGTAAAAACTCCATAGTTCCCATGGGGCATAATTTTAATCAGACAGTTCATGGCATTTTGCATTTAGGGAACTGCAGCATCAGCTGCAAACAGTCAAGTCAAACCTATCTGTAAGGCCATTGGAATGAACAATCATAAGTTCACTTTTTTTAAAAAAGGTACAAAGATGAAATATGAAGTTCTGTTAGTTCCTAGCATATGGCACATATCTCAAGATACAAAGTTAAAATCTGGAAATTTCTTAAAACAAATGCTTGCTGATTTTCATTTCTGTACTCAGTCATTTAGTTTCCTTCTAATGACTATGACATTCATAGATTTTTATTAGTATATCCTGACCTATGTCCTTCTGAATCAAGGGATTTCGTTTTCAGACAATCTTGGGTATAATGAGAAAGATAAAGGAAGGTCTCTTTGTTTAGTTTTTTTTTTTAAGTCTAAAAAAATGAATGGAAGAAATTTTGAGATCAGTAAACCAACATAATGAAATGTGGTTTTAAAATTCTAGGCTTAGAATCTCATCTTTAAAGATTAAGAACTATATTTATAAAAGCATCTAAGTCACAAGCTTAAAGAGAAAGTCTACTTAATTTGTGTTTTACTGCTCATAGGAAGACACTTTAAGCCCTAATAGAGATTCTCAGCATTTGGAGCCTGTAAAATGCTGGTAATTTCTTACTCACAAACCTCAGAACAATCCATGTATATTGCACAACTAAATTCATTAATGGACAAGGCAGTAACATTTTTTGTATGCTACTGGATATTTACATGCATGCTTTATTCAAAACTAAGGTACCACATTTCTCTTTTCCAAGGATGCCTTCAATTCAAAACAAGACAAAACAAAACATACTGCGTAAATTTCATTGAATGCTTAGAGGCTGGCTCACTGTTTTTCTACCAGGTATTAGAATATTAGTTAGCTAAATGAGGTATAATTAAAAAATAGTCTTTCAAAGTAAAGAGAAATTTATAACGAAGACTGCATAAAATGTCCACATGAACAGTAAGAAACCCTGCAGCACCTGACTGATGTGCAGAGGTCGCTTCATCATCCCCAGTAAAAGAGGCTAGAACAGGTTCCCAGTGAAACATTTCACAATCAACTGATTCACATGCTACTTAGATACAGCATACTTTACTGTCTGATACCCTTAGATTCAATTTCAAAATTCTGAGTCCAACTGTTGTCAAAAAATTAGCACAATAATAATAAAGTGCAGCCTCTGAACCACTAATACTGCTGCAAAAATCTCTATGTACCCTATCTTATCTGTAAGACCACAACAATGTTCATACATACATACATACATACATACATACATACATACACACACACACACACACACACACACACACACACACACAGAGACACCCCTAGATTTCTTCAGTTTCAGCAGGGAACAGACAATTATCTGTCACTAAACTCAACTACAAATAGAAAAAATAATGCACCATATGTACATTATTAAGCAAAGTAGACTATTTGTTGGGTTGTTTTTTACCATGCAGAAAGTGAATTTCCTATGGTCTGAGCTCAAATTATATACAATTTAGCAAAGCTAAATGTAAGAAAATAGCAGGGGCAATTTATTTCTATATAACAGAGAATATACTCCCAGTTTGCTGCTACTTCAAAGAGCACTTTTAGACTCACCTAAACATTTACAGGCTCATTCAAAGAGAAGTTCATGGAGACTAGTTATTAACCCACAAAAGACACAAGAAGAATGAAGAAATCAAAAGCAAAGCATTCTGGTTTAAAAAAAGGATGCTGACCACAGAACATGTCAGTTTTGGTTTGCAGACAACCCCTGAGATAGAAACCAAAGTGTTAAGACACCAAACAGTCAGAGGTAAATACTAGGAAAATTACATTCGTATATGGTGTCACAGCTCATGCGTTTTGCAAAGTACTTTGTTACCACTGTAACTGCTTGAACTTTTTTTTTTTCCAGAAAAGTTGTGATAAAACATTTCTAAGAAAATACTGTTTCTTTTCAAAAATGTATTTAATTTGAAGATGTTAGACTTACAATCAATTCTCACTGAGAGAACTACTTATACCTGGACAGTAATGTGTGACTTTAAGCTGGTAGGTAACTAGAGAAAAGGAAGAAAAGGCTAAAGTTTGTCAACAAAGTAAAGTCAGCGTATCCACCAAAAATAACTCTGGTATACTTGCAGCCACTGGAATGCTTTTGAGTTTTCCCACAGAAAGGAAGGCCTGCTAGTCCAAGCACTGAAGCAGAATTCCCTGTGTAACCAACTATCCATGTCCATTTCCACACCCAGTTCTTAATATACAGCACAAGAGCAGGAGTAATTGCTACAAGTTCATTTCCCTTGTCATCTGTTTTTATGCCCTCTGTGTTAGGACACTGAAGACTGGAACAACAGCAGTGACATTATGATCTGTATTTGGCACGTAAGTTAACACTAAATACCTCCCACCCACCCCTAGTGTAATGGTTTATTCACAAAAGAAATATCAGAACCAGCATTTGGTGAGAAAGGCAGCAAAGCTCTTGGTTGGCTTTGCCTGTATAGCCACAACACTTCTCTAACTACAAACCTAAACGCAAAGGGCTAGGTCCTATACATTCAGCAAAGGCTGTTTGAAAGCCAAAACCTGGATCATATGTGCTCTAATAAAAAGACAAGATATCTGGAGGATGTCCCAGATCTAATTACTTTTATGTATTTTTTAAACCCTAAATAGAACCAAAAGTCATTATTTTCAGCATTATTAACATGTTTAATTTCTCTCCATATAGGTATGTTTTCTGCAAACTGAAATCTAAATTTAACCTTTGTTAACTCTCTCACAGACAGTATTATGGTTAAGAACTGGGTAATACAAGCTAATGGGTAAAACTAAGAAAGTATATATTACATATCTGGTGTAACAAGACCATAGCTGGATGTGAAAATAAAGCCCTAATGACCATTTCTCTCCTTATGTGAAATCTCCGCTCATGAAGTTCAAAGATAGACACAGCAGAGCTTGCATATATTATTGGTTTTAGATAAGTAAATAATGACAAGAAGGCAGGCAGGAAAGGGGACAGCAAATATCACCCTCAGAAACAGTGAGACTGGAGTGCTTTCTACATACTGTTTTCAGAGAGAAGGCAGTGGTGGCCAACTTAAAAAGGATACAGCTACTCAGGGATGGGCAGAGCTCATAACCACCTGAAAAGATGAAGATGAAGTGGCCTCTGGTGAACTGATGGGCATTTTTATGAATTTTAAAAGTTTGCCAATATTTAATGATTTTTAAGAACACTGAAAATCAAAGCCCTTCGGTAAATGCTACCAATAAAACTTTTGGCCATATGACCCAGGCCAACCATCCTTTAATTTCAGTAGACCAATCTCTGTTTAATGTTCTGCTGTCTTTAAACATCCCCAAATATACAAGTCTAGAACTTCATGCCACTAAAGTGCTCAGTTAGGAGTCTAAGATTATGCTGTACCAGAGAAAGGCTGACACTCATGTGCAAAGAAAGATAGCAGCTTCCAGGACAGGCAGTAAAACAAGGAAAAACCAGTTGGGTCCTGCGTGTGTCTCCACATCATTTGCTTCCATGTTTGAAGAAAGGAGCCTGCTCTTTTGCTAGGCCATGAGGCTGGAATCCACTTGGCATTCTGTGTTGAGAGGTCTAGAGTTCCATGGTGCTCTCCGCAGCAGCCAGGTGAGGTGACTCTGAGGCTGGGTAACCTGTGCTTTCAGAGAAGCAGGGAAGGGCCCTCTAGGTATTCTGCAGTCTCTCAGAAGAGTTCATCATAGCAATGAACAGCGGAAGAAACTGGTCTTCTTGGACCGGTTTTCTGTTATTTTCACTGGCCCACCTGCTCCTGATGAATTGCTGTCATTCTGAAAAATAGGATATGAAGTTGCTAAGGAAACCAAAATTCCAGGTTTGACACCAATTACCTACAAAGTAAAAACACACCTGGTGTGGGGAATATACTCTAGTACACTCGCACCCATGCTCACTGCAAAGCTCTATCAGAGAAGGAATTAGTTAAGTCTCAGCATTGTCTTTTTTATAAGTGGTGAGTTAAAGAGAAAATATTCTTAGGCTAGATAGCACTTCTGTTTTAACCATGTAGGACACTCTTATATCTAGCTTAAGGCAATTTCAGCCAAGGCCTGTAAGGTGTCAGGATAATGATGGAAACAAGGCTAAGGCAGTAGACAATAGGGTTAGAAGCAAGAGGAGTTGGTAACAGAAGATAGTTTTCATAAGGACCCATATTAAAATGAACTTTAGGGTGTCCTAAAGATTCATCACTGACAGTTCAAATTTAAGCCAACTTCAGCAACTCCAAGATCATCATTATATAGATAAAAATTATGTATTATATGAAAACTGAACTAGATAATTTTATGAAAAAAAGCAATTTCTACCATTTTTATTTTCACTATTTTGATAGAAATTCAATTAACTACCACTTAAGGAGTCAGAGGAAAGAGCTGAGATAGCTATAATACAGAAACAACCCTAAAGCAATAGAAATTAGAACCAAGGTACAATCATATGAAAGCATCAGGAACAAGTAAGTTTAATGTGAGCATATTATAATCATGCTCTCCATTCTGTTGAGTTTCATAAAAGGCTGTATCATGAAAATAAAAACTAAAGTGATACAAACCATTTTTCTGTTGAGTTTTGTCATTATATCCCGTGCAAGTGTAAAAAATGCCTAAAGGTAAAACAAACCAACAAAATTATTGTTAAATAGTTATATTTCAAAATGGAAATATAGAATTTTTTTTTCCGAGACAGGGTTTCTCTGTGGCTTTAGAGGCTGACCTGGAACTAGCTCTTGTAGCCCAGGCTGGTCTTGAACTCATAGAGATCTCCCTCCCTGCCTCTGCCTCCTGAGTGCTGGGATTAAAGGCATGCGCCATCACCGCCCGGCAAAATATAGAATTTTTATTATTTATTTGTGAATATACTACTTCAGAGTTTCTAATCGGGGAAAAAAAGAGTATAATTAAAATCTTAGCATGAGCTAGGTGGTGGTGGCACACATCTTTAAACCTAGTACTTGGGAGGCAGAGGCAGATGGATCTCTGTGAGTCTGAGGTCAGCCTGGTCTACAAACTGAGTTCCAGGACAGCCAGGGCTACACGAGAAACTCTGTCTTGAAAAACAAAAACAAAACAAAACAAAAATCCTAGCATGTACATTTTACTGGCTTTTTCAGTTATATCATATTTTCCAATGTTGTCACGTTATCATTCATTTGTCAAATATTTTTGCATGTAATGCCTGCCACAAGTTCCTAATATGGCAATACAGTTATGAGTGCCTTCCTCAATACACTAAGAACAGGAGAGAGGCTCTGTTTAAACCACCCTACTCCCCTAGGGAAAGGCTTCAACCTCTGGCCCAGATGATGCTTGTCTTAGGGTTACTATTGCTGTGATGAAACACCATGACAAAAGCAACTTGGGGAGGAAAGAGTTATTTGGATCATTAAGCTTCCATATCACAGTTCATCATCAAAGAAAGTCAGGATAGGCATTTAAGCACAGCAGGAACCAAGAGACAGGACCTCAAGCAGAGGCCATGGAAGGTGCTACTTACTGGCTTGCTTCACAAGGCTTGCTCAACCTGCTTTCTTGTAGAACCCAGAACCACCAACCCAGGGATGGCACCATCCACCATGAGATTAGCCCTCTCAATCACTAAGAATTAAGAAAATGCCCTGCAGGCTTGCCTACAACCCGATCTTATGGAGCTATTTTCTTAATTGAGGTCCCTTCCTCTCGGATGACTTTAACATGACATAAAACTATCCAGCAAAATGCTAAATTCTGTTTAAGAAGTGGTTTAAGAACAATTATGGATTAAACTATAGCTCTGAAATTTCATCTTCACAAAAACCTATACCTTTTTTTTCTGACCTCTTCTGAGGGCATACCTAAGTATACAGAATCTTCCATGACAAACTGTGGGCATGTGCATACACACACACACACACACACACACACACACACACACACACACACACACACCTGTGGAAATCAGTTTAAAAGGAAGCCTGGAAAACTCACTTCTCTCACTGGCTCTTTAAAAAAAAATCTGTCATCGGCTGGGCCTTGTTGGCGCATGCCTTTAATCCCAGCACTCAGGAGGCAGAGGCAGGAGGATCTCTGTGAGTTCGAGGCCAGCCTGGTCTACAGAGTAAGTTCTAGGACAACCTCCAAAGCAATACAGAGAAACTCTGTCTCGAAAAACAAAACAAAATTTGTCATTACTTTTACTTTGTTTCCGCAAAGTATGAAATTAATTCTGTGGCCAAGATTGAGGAGTACCCAACCGGAGCTGGCATAAGACACCCTCTTCCCCCTGCTTTAGTGGAAGGATTTCTTTCATAGAAAAAGAAAGCTTGTTTTTCTTTTTCTTTTTTTTTTTTTTTTTGGTTTTGTTTTTATCTATGCTTATGAAAATAAACCAGTGGCAATTTCCTGTTTCTCAATGAGATACTCAGTAGCTAATCTGAAAAATGAGTGCTGGTTATTTTGAAGAAAGAAAAGTTCTGACAAGTATTCATTGACTACTAAGGCCATTTAAGTCTTGATATTTTAGCCACTGTGTAAGGAAGGAGTGAAGAATCTAAGACACTAAAGCTTAGAACTGCAGGGTTATTAAGCATGGGTACTAGCTCTATTACACAGCAGTTAAACAGATCATCTAGAGTTTTCTAGAGCAGTTTTCATTCACAAAGGATAGAACTACTGATGATATTTTCTTTGTTAAATTTTTAAACTGATCATAAAATTATAATTTTCATCTGTTCTTTTAAGACCTTAGATAAACTTTTCAAAATTTTTTTATTATTTTATTTTCTTATTGTGTATGGGTATGTTTGCCACAAGGCAAGTGCAGTGGTCATCAGAGGACATGGATCCCAGAGCTAAAACTCAGGTCCCCTGGCAAACTCCTTCACCCTCTGAGCCATCTTGCCAGCCCCACCCCCATAATCTTGTTTTAATGGCTAATTTAATGGAAATGTATTAAAACTAACCTATGGAAAACACTGTCTTATATCTACTAAATGGCACAGCATCATAGTGTCATGCTTACTCTACTTCAAATGTGTATACAAAGGGAATCCATTCAAGAGACAATGGTTTAATTCAAGTGATTCAGCTTGTCTGCTACAGGCTAGTAAAGTGTGATGACAAATATGCAGAGGACACTGAGTCTGCGATTGCTAACTTCCTAAACAAACGGCTGCAATGAACTTAAAATGAACTTGTATCTCCTCTCTTCCAAGAATCTTAATTGAGGAATCTTAACCCATGTGGAGGCTGCATGCTAGAAATCCATTGAGCAGAGTCTGCGTAAAAGCCCAAGGCATAGAAGTGCACAGGAGGCTTTCACTAGGCTGAGCAGCTATGCAGCATGTAAAAGCCCAAGGCATAGAAGTGCACAGGAGGCTGTCACTATGCTGAGCAGCTATGCAGCAAGGCACCATACGTTTCTTACCTCCTCGACATTTGTACTGGATTTTGCACTTGTCTCCAAAAATTTAATCCCATAGTCAATTGCTAACTGAAAGACAAACAGAAAATCAAATTTAGTGAAAGTACCTTGGACATACAAAGCATTTAGTAGATTGTACATTCTTCAAAGCCCCCAAGAATCTATGCCAGAACTCCTATGGTTTTCAATTTCATTTGTTTTCTTGTACTGTGCCTTTAACTTTATAATTTAACTTAGTCTAAAAATGACACAGCTTCTATTTAAAATGTCAATGTTAGAAATTTGTTCTGTTGTACTTGTGTGTCTCTAATAAACACACCAGAAAAACTACGAGATGGAGTCTCAGACTTACCACCTGCCTGGGATCGTTTACTCCTTTATCTTGTCTCCAGGAACACAACTCTCCAAGTGTAACTAACCTGACTTTCCTTTATGAATGAACTACTTTGTGAAGCAGAATGGCAAATTTGAACTCTTTTCATGTATCTATCTATTTCAGGGTTCTAACCCACATAACACTACTCAAATTAAGTGAAGGTTTCCAAGGGCAAGTTGGTAGTCAGTCTGAAAAACTAAATGTATTTGCACCTATCACTGGAGAAAGTCTCTGGAGGCTTGAGAAAATATCTTAGGTAAACGTGCACAAAAAAATACCCATTTGCAAGCCGGGCATTGGTGGCTCACGCCTCTAATCCCAGCACTTGGGAGGCAGAGGCAGGTGGATCTCTGTGAGTTCCAGACCAGCCTGGTCTACAAGAGCTAGTTCCAGGACAGCCTCCAAAGCCACAGAGAAACCCTGACTCGGGAAAAAAAAAGAAAAAAAATACCCATTTGCTGTACAGCCAGGCACCTGTAAATGTCACCTCTGTAGCCTGGCAGTCACCAGGAGCTTGCTGCTCATGAGCTGAAGCTAAGCTGTACTAAACTCTTAGGGAAAACAACAAACTGGGAAGTGATGATGGTTGAAATTCCACCTACCCTAGTAAAGTTTTTCAGAAACTGAGTTATTGTAACTTCAGATCTGGGCTTTTTGCACAAATCTGAAAGAGCCTGAACAAGAATGGCTGGATCTTAAGAAAGGCCAGTCTATCTCCCAGCACTCTCTAGGGCTGAGTCATGACTGGATGGTAGAAACGGGGTTGGATTTGAATACTAATTCCCATTATCCAAGCACATCTCACTGTTGTTTGATAGTCAGTTCTTAAAGTACTAAAACAGATATTTTTAAAACATAAATTAATTCGAAGAAAATGAATGCTGTATGGGAGTAGACTCCATCATTTTTTCATTCGATTCAAACTTACCTTCTCCCCTCTTTCTTTGGACACCTGTCTTTTGTCATTCATATCGCATTTGTTACCCAGGATCATCCTTTCAACATCTGAAGAGGCATGCTGCAGGAGGAAAACAGTGCATCATAAAAATAGCCTGAGAAGAACCACAGAGCTTCAATGGGAAAACCCCAACCTGAAAGAAACATGGCAGCTTGTTCAGCAACAAGATGATCTTTCCTTCAATACAAGCCTAATTCAGAGGAATGTTTAAAGATAGAAGGGAGAATTACCTCAGCTTAAAGCCTTCACAGAGCCTATGCAAACATTTTCCCCTGAAGGCTCACACTCACTCTCATAACTCAAATATAACAGCCAAACCTTCAAACAATTATTCTAGTCAAAAACAGAATAAGCCTCCATGTGTGATCTATTTGGGAGCTGGGTAGTGGGTCATTCAAAAAGCCAAAAGAGTAAAGAATAAAAAATAAACACACAACATGCCATGCTAATAAAAGTACTGCCATGTGGTAGAGCATAAATAAGGAATATGGGTTAGCTTAAAATGTAAGAGGTAGTTAGTAATAAGTCTGAGCTATTGGCTGAGCATTTACAATTTATACTGTCTCTGAGTTAGTTATTTCAGAAGCAGCTGCTGGGTATTTAGGAACAAGCAGTTGGAATGGGAAAACTCTGTCTACAGAAAGTAACCTGGGTTTTGAACTATCTAAAAAGATCAACTAAGTGGGTTCATTCAAAAGTACTAAATTACTTCCTAGTCAGTTTCTTTCTGAAATGCCACAGAGATTTCAAGGAAAAGTTAGTACCAACTATCCTGTAACTAATCCAAATTTGAAATATCTAAGGAGGAAAAAATGTTAGAAAGGCAAAAAAGTTGCAGAAATACATTTCTGCTAGTGACACAGCTGAGAATCATGTATCTTAGCTGTGGCTCTGTCCTCGGAGGCTCTATGAACACTGGCAAGCCATTCCTTCCTCACCTGTTTCCTTAGGTATAAAATGGGGACACAGATTATGTTGTGTCTAAGCTCTGACCTGAGTTTATACACGAAATGCTCCTCTGTCTACTATCTATATACAGCTATTGACCTGGCACCATTGAGGATCTAGTGTTTTTCCAGTGGGCAGGGTTGGCCTGTCCTGCCCATTCTGTTCCTCAGCAGCAGCCACCTCCAGGAGAAAGCAATAGCCCACCACATGTTCCTAGTAGGCTTCTGTCCAGCATTGCCACTCTCCTTCCATACATACCTCTTCAATGTTTCTTATCCAATTCTTAATATTGTCAAAGGATTTTTCATTGGTGATGTCATAGACCAGCATAATTCCCTATGGTAGGAAACAAAAGATTTTATTACACACTTCATATACTTACAGCTCACAATGCAGGACATGCCTACCTGCCTCTCTTTTGTCTTTTTTGGTCTTTAAAGAGGGATTCATAATAAATTTGAAAAATACAGAGGCAAAAACAAACGAATGCTGCTGTTGTCTGTCTAAATGAACTGTTAACATCTTCACTGTTAACTTTTAATGAATTAGTGATTGTAGGAAAGGTAAGCCGATCTTTCTACCTGACCTCAGGTGATAATGATCGGCCCCAAATGGAGCTTCAGGCCTGGCTAAGTAAGACAGGGGCAGTGAATGCTCAGAGGAAGAGGGACATTTCCAGGGCACACTTGCTTATTACAGACAGAAATGATTATTGTTCTCATTCCAAGACCACACTGTTCTAAATTTTTCTTTCAACACAGGTTTACCTGTATTGCATACAGGCTTACAATACAATGTTACCATTTGTCCTAACACTAATAACTCATATGAAAACATAATGTGTTTATTACATGGGTTAGTTAAGGCATTGTCATCATATTTTTAAAGATTCCCCTGCCTGGTAAAATCTAAAATTTCCAAATAATTCAAATAACACCTCTATGCTAAGCACCCAGGCCACTGTCCAGTACTGTGAGAACTATGTGAGCTGGTCATGGGTGCCCTTACAGAAAAGAGACTGGAAGAGGTTAAGCATGAAAACAGAAAGACAACTAAAGAATGGATCAGCAGCTCCAGGAAAGGCTAATTGAGGAGAAACTAATAAGTTGGTACAAGAAGAGGAGGACAGGCTCTGAAAATACTGAGTCATGGATCTCCAGGACCATTCTTCAGGACTGTGAATACTATGTGCTACACGCACTTAAGTGCCAATCCATGCAACAATATGGAATAGGCTGGTAGTTCAGTGGTAGAGTGCTTGCCTAGCATGAGTAAGCACTGCAGGTTTGATGTCCAGCACTGTCAGAGAGTAGATAGACAGAGATACTGATTCTATGGTTGACCATGCACATGTCTGAACACTCAGGAGACAGAGAAGAACTTCAGGCCAGCCTGGGCTACACAGTAAAACTTTATCTGAAACACACACACACACACACACACACACACACACACACACACCACTAAAAAGTCCTTCCAACTCCCAAGAATTTGCTAAGTACCTACTATGTGCCAAATACTCTACTTATACTAGATACTCTGAGTAGTGAACAGGATAACCAAGGTCCCTTCTTTTCATGAATGGATAACAAAGAAAACAGACCAGCATACAATTAACTAGAATTCTGACAATTGCAACACAGAAACATGGGGAGCTTTGAACTAAAACAACAGGGGCAGTCTTATCTGGTAAAGTGGCTCAAGGGGCACCGACAGTTTCTCTGAGAAAATGAGTAAGGCCAAGGCTTGAAGACCAAGTAGAGTGAACTTGACAAAAGGGCTGGGACTGATGAAGGAAGCCAGTCCATGGTGCCTGCCACCATAGCCACAACAACAACAACTACAAAAAAAATCAATAGCATTTTGTCATTGAAGGTCCAGGGTACACTCAATTGACTCAAAGAAAACTTAGCAAGATGCACAGATCTATTGGGAAAAGGGACAAGATGGGTCCAAGCAGGAAGACAAGGTAAGATGTCCTTTACAGAACACTGTCTAGACACCAGCTGTCAGCTATCTCCTATAGTCACCACAAATTCTCGTAAGTAAAACAGAAGATTGTGGGTCCCTCCCAAATCTTCTGTTCTCCCTGTACTATCAAATGGTGAAGGTCAATAAAACCCCAGCAGTCATGTAAATGCCTGGGTGTTTCCCTCATAGCGAGTCTCTGGAGATAGGTCCTGGAGATCCTATGATTCAGTATTTTCAGAGCCTGACCGCCTTTACTCATGTACTGGATTATTAGATTCTCCTCAATTAGCCTCTCCTGGAGCTGCCGACCCACCCTTTAGTTGTCTACCTGCTTTCACTCTGACCTCTTTTAGTCTCTTTTCTGGAAGGGAACCCATGATCAACTTAGTGCTCAAATATTTGCAGTACCCTCCACTGTTCTCAGAATTAAATTCCACGGCATGGAAAGCAAAGTCCAGCACAGGCTAGTGTTCAACTTTGTTGGTAAATATAAATGTAAACATATACAAATAATATAAAACACATTAGACAAAAAAGCCAGGAAATAAAAAATATTAAAGAGTTCTCTGGCCAGGTGTTGGTGGCACACGCCTTAATCCCAGCACTCTTGAGGCAGAGGTAGGTGGATCTCTGTGAGTTCAAGGCCAGCCTGGTCTACAGAGTTCCAGGATACCTAGGGCTGTTGTTACACAGACAAACCCTGTCTCAGAGAAAAAAAAAAAAAAAAAAAAAAAAAAAAAAAAACCAAAAAAAAAAGAATTCTCTCTCAGGGAGGTAGGATTTGGGATGATTTCTCGGAATTCTTAAAAGCTTTTTTTATACCATTAATATCCACTTTTAATAGCAAGGGAGAACTATTTTTTTGTTTGTTTATTTGGGACAGAGTCTCACTATGTAGCCTTGGCTGGCCTGGAACTTGCTATATAAACCACGCTAGTCTTGAACTCATAGAGAAGATCTACCTGCCTCTGCCTCCTTAGTGCTGGGAGAAAAGGCAGGTTATTTTTTAAATGACAAGCAATATTCTCCTCTACCCCACCCCTCCTTGCCTCAAGTGCACATTTCACTTCAGCTATACACTTTGTAAAAGATTTTTAAAAACTAAAAGTGAAAACATGCACTTTTATCATGAAAATATATTTAAAAGTTTTATGCTACTGATGGATAACCACAATAAAAAAAAACAAGTAACAATAATTGCTGATTCAGCTTTCCGCCGACCGACCCAGGAACTAGAGCCCTCATCCAGTGGCTGATGGAAGCAGAGACAGACATCCACAGATATACACTGAGCTGAAATCGGGAATTTAGTTGAAGAGAGGGAGGAATGAAGAGCGAAGGGGTCTGTACCAGGTTGGAGAAACCCACAGAAACAGTTGGCCTAAACAAGGGAGAGCACATCGACCCCAGATGCTGTCTGGGAGGCCAGTACAAGACTGATCCAGCCC